TAAGCTGTAGTCCTGTAATGAGTTTGAAATAATAATAACTCCTTTACACACTCCCTTCAAATTCGGAGGACTGAGAAAAAAAAAAAAAAACGGTAAGGAATTCGTGAGTCGATGTGAAATTTTCTTTGGACAAATGAAAACCTTGCCTCCACAGAAATTGACCGATGAACTGAGAAGAAAAAAGAAAGAAATTAGCGAATTGATATAAAATTGTTTTTTGGACCAATGAAAACCTTACCTTAGCCGTTGAGCCAAGAAGAAAGAAAAGAAATTAGAGAGTCCATGGGAAATTCTTTTCGACATAAAATGATAAGAAAAAATAAATTAATAAGAGAAGAGTGTCGGAAGTCATGTAAAAGGTTTCGTTTCTGTTCCCCGCTTCCAGTGTTGAAGTTTTCGCCAGTGTAAAATTATTTGCCAATTATATTATCGGCTTTTAACCAAGCACGCGACACTTGAAAGAATTTTCTCTCAGCAATCCAAAAATCTAAGTATTTCGAACTATCTCCCTTCGTCTACTTTTGAAAGTATGCAAGCCACTCATCATTTCTGTGAGCAGCGAACTCTCACATCTTTGTTTTAAATATTTTTAATATTATTTTGTGTCAGCTCATCTAATATGTTGAACGAATATTTCTTCTTTATGACAATACATTAAAATTAAGGACTTTAAGAATTTTGATTTATTTTCCTGAAACGATCTACTGACACTACGTGTCTGTACGTTTATATATTGGATCGGATTTCCTACATTTTTCAATCGATTTCAACAAAACTTCACAGGACTACGTAAAATTACCTTGCGGTGGTTCTGACAGCGCCAAAAATTGGAAAAACACAATTGTTTTTGCACGAAATCAATTTGAAAACACGATAAAACACGATTCTGTCGCCAGAATGAAAGGGGTACAACTCATATCGAGTTATACTTATTATAAAATAAGGTTGTTTGTGTGTGTTGTGTGTGTGTGTGTGTGTGTGTGTGTGTGTGTGTGTGTGTGTTCGTTGAATCAGATTTCCTACATTTTTCAACCGATTTCAACAAAACTTCACATTTTTTTGGCAGGTAGTGTTTTTATTGTCTTGCACACTTTTTTCTTTATTTTTACATTATGAATGCTTTAAAAATTCCATTTACAAGACAATTGTTTACAATGTTTTTGTTTGAGTTTGGGTTTGACCAATTCGTAAAAAAAACAAAACAAACAAAAAAAAAACTAATTCAGACATGTATGTCCGTCAACCTTAAACAATAATCGTTGTCAATTTTATTTTTCAGTCTTTATGATGGTCGATACTTGATCTCTTTTACTGTTACATCCCCGTGCAACGCCGGGCTCTACTGCTAGTTAATTAATAAAATTCCTTATGTTGTTTGATTCAAATTACACGTTTGTTTCCTCGTCACTACCAAACTCCTCTGATCTTCTTGGCGTGGTATATCAACTGTTTATTTAACCGCGAAGTCCCACTCCATTTGTAAACGGTTCTTAAAGGCCGGCAAATTCGGTATGCCTCCTTTATAAAGATTTAAAGGCTCAATGAAATATTGAAAGACGGCTTTCAATAACAAAACAATGTATTAAGGAACAGGAAAATTTCATTAGAAACAAAGAATGCTAAAATATTACGTAATATAAATCTTTCTATATGGCAAACTCGAAGCAATAGAGATGTGGTTATACAGAAAGAAACTAAAAATAACATGGATGGGACATGTGAGCAACCAGGAAGTTTTAAGGAAAATCAGAACGGAAATGCGCTTAGGACCAGAAAAAGTTGACATTTCTGGGACATATAATGGGGAAAGCGAGCTTGGAGAATTTGATACACACAGGACATTCTGAAAGCAAGCTTGAAACATCGAGCAACCTACCTAATGATCTTGTGTAAATGGGTGACAGAACATGAACTGGGAGGAATAGGGGACAAATATTGCTTAGAGCTATGAAGGATAGGAAGTTGTGGAGGAACACGACAGATAAAGAAGATTTTTTTTTGTTTAATGGGCTTTTTAGGAATAGTATTAAACATCGAATAACCTACTTAATGGGTTTGGTGATAAAAGAACAGGAACAAAGTGAGATGGTATAGAGTTACACGTTGCTTAGAGAAACAGGAAGTTGTGGAGAGCCATGATCGAGCACATCTGAAGGGGCGCAACACATAAAAGAAGAAACTAACTCGAGATCAGATAAGTTTTGAATACTGATTGAATACTGATACTATCATGCAAGATTATAACGATAAAGATTCTCTATTCGTCTCCATGTAATGGTTGATAAGCTCGCTTTATACACCATTAATGTACCAATGACTTTATATAGTGTACTACACAGATGATTTATGCTTACATAAAGTACACTGTTTTTTATTACCATCCTTAGCATTAAAAATTTCAAATTAATTTAAAAAATTAAGTTTATTTTGAGCATGAAGCATAGGTTAATTTCTTTTTGTCCAGGTTATTTTAAAGTAAAATTTCACCATAGTTTACGAATGTTCACCCAATAAAAGGTTCAAGAGACATTCGAGGTAGAGGTTTACCGAATAAAGCTGTTTTACGAACATTACATGTTTAGTGCATGAAGATATGTTGGAAATATAACAGAATTAAGTAGCGATCGGGAAGCATCCTCTCGGGAGTCTGTTTAACAAAGTAGCAGTCCTTGCGAAGAAACTTTCCGAGTGGAACTTCCTTCTTACAGACGAAACACGAAAGGAATAGGGATGGTTCATCCCAGGGCATGGCGGGTTTTAGGTTGGAATTAGTGAAATTAAAGAATGTAGCTCGTTAGAGCATTAGCCGTGGAAATAGCGATAGATTAGCTACAGTTTTGCCACGTTTCGTCTATGGAAAAGGGGGGTGTAGTTCATCGCCCACAAGGATGCATAGACGATTTTGAATTTTATAACGACCGAAAAGTGAAAACTGATTATCCCCACCCCATAACCCTAACCTTTTTTATTTTTTTTTTTTTTTTTTTTGTCGGATCTGGCTCTAGTAAAGATAAAGCATGGCAGAAGGAATCAGATACTTACTGGAACAATAAATAAAACCGATCATTTCTTTTCTTTAATACTAGTTTGGGGTTGCATATATGAGTTCTACTTGAGGTTTCGGTTGAACTTGTCCTAATATGGCGTCAAGGCAAGGAGCCCCATTTAGAATAAAACCGACAGGCGAATATTCAGGGTTTGCTTAGTGATGATGGAACGTTACGAATTTGGTTTTCGAGGTATCGAATGTTACAAGCCAGTTATTCCTCCATTGAGCTGTTACAGCTAGGCCGGAGGTAAAATCAGGTGCCAGTCTCTGGTAATCTAGAATTTTGGAGGTGCATTCATACACTGTTTTATCAACTGCAGAGATATACATTCAAATTTTGGAATCCAAATTTGTGTCACCATAAACCCTTAGTCTTTGCACGTCGAAATTAGAATTTATTTTTATCCAGTACAAACACTAAAATTTAGAGATGATTTTACAGAAATTGTAAACAGAACCTAAAATGTTAAAATTTGCATATTTTAAGTGTGAAATAGACATGAAATAAGACCCAAACTTGAGAATATGCTAAGCTTGATTCGACTTTTACCTTATAGAATGGTTTCTTAACCTTTTTTACTTCAGGGTAAAAGTCTAGGTTGTATTTTAAATGTTAATAAGGGACAAATAGTAATGAAATTTGAAAACAGGAAAACAATGAAGAAGTCTCTTAAAATAAGTATTTATTTTTAAAACATTACATTTTATATTTAGTTTATGTGAAACCTGTGCTTGATGTGCGTTGGCAAAGTGTTGTAACCTAGAATAGAATAGAATAAAAACAGAGGTTGGGAATGAAATGGTAATCTTTATAACATCAACAAAATACAATACTCGCCAGCGGCGTGAAGTAGGTAAACCACTGCTAGTGGTGGACTACATAGACAACGTATTACGCCCACTTACAATAGTGTCCAACGTATTCATGAGGATTGGGAGATACCTATTAGTGTTCATAGTTAGGGTATATAACACAAAGATACCTATTAGTGTTCATAGTTAGGGTATATAACACAAAGAAAAATGGTTGTTATTTTTGGTTTAGCATTCCCAAAGAAGATTAGTAGTACACTTGTCATTTAAATAAATTTATGAAGAATTTGCTATTTTTTGTTTAGAGAGACCGATAATGACCGATTTAAATCCCTTGAGGAAGGCAAAAGTCAAAGGATTATCCACTCCTTCTTAAAGATTAAGGAATTTAGCTTTCAGATTAAAATATCAAATGACAAAGACGTGACTCTAACATGGAAGCCATGTTTTTGGTGTCTGTAGCCTTTTAAGAATCATCATCATCATCTTGCGGCCTCAGCCGAGATTGAACTCACTAGACCTCTCCAGTATTCCCTATCTGTCATAGCACCTAAAAGATCTTCCTTAGGGATCAATGTGTCTCGTTTTATCCTAATGTAGTTCATAATCTTGTCAATAGCTGAATTCTTGATGCTTCGCTAGGGCTATCAAGGGTGTTTTTATCGTGGCACCATCACTAAATGGATTGCCAACCAAGGCTCAGAGAGATTTTATTAACCCTCATCTAAGAAAACTATATTCTTTTAAAAATGATAAATTGTTATGTTCCCGAGTGGATGGGGTGAAATGTGGCTGTGTGAAGAAATATAAAAAGGTGGAATGAAAGAATAAACTATTAACAAACTTGACTGGGTGGAAAAAGTGGAATTACATTGCCTCTTAAAGAACATTGAACATGTTATTCCTCTGCGGCTGTCTGGCGGGCTTTCGCTGTGTATCAACAGCTCGAAAACAAGATTATAAAGAGAATGAGCACTATACAAGGCGTTTGCTATCGACCCCCCCACCTGTGCGGGGAACAATTCGAGGCAAGAACTTTCCCAAATCTGTCGACGTGTATCTGGCCAGCTGAAAGTTGACGGTGTTGTTCGGTGGACTGCCGAGCGTCCAAATTTTGGCAGGGGATCAATGCGAGTGTCTAGACGTTGTTTAATGACCTGGTAGACCGGGCCAGGGAAAGTGATAGCGGAGGTCTATAATCAATGCAACACCAAAGGATGCCAATGCTGCAAGCGCAATGCCCAAGCAATCCATCGCTACCAAGTGCAACAAGGGCATTGACGCGTGTCTCTGCCTGATAAGGGGGGGACACCGTGGGTGAAGCCTCCCTAGCCGGTGGCTTCAAAGAAAACGAATCACCGGCATCGTCAATGAGCAAGCAGTGCTGGTCGATGGTACTCCACGCCATGTGAAGGATGTCCGGCCCGCCCTAAATGAACCAGATTGGTGAATCATCCAGCGATGAACTGTGGAATGCCCCTCGGGCCTGATGGTTTGACTGCGGAACGCTGATGCTGATAGTTCTGACGCCCCTTTGAGAGTCCCGATGAAGAAGTTAACCCTCTTCTAGGAGTGCCCGCAACAAACGACCGCGTCCGCAATGCCACATTTGTGATCTTGAGACCAGGGTGGAGGTGGACTGAAAATGAGACTAACCTCAGTTCTCGGCATAAGAGTTCGTTTGTGTCTGGCGTGTAGGGCGTAATTGGTCCGAAGAGAAACACCACCATTACGGTGAGTCGAATATAATGCGATCTCGTAGCCGCGAGGATTGGCGAGAGGAGAACTTGGGATGCAAATTGGTTGGTGTTCGCTGGGATAAATGTGACGCGGGAGACCACTGGAGAGTTGTGTGAAGCGAACTACGAGGCGGTGTTGGAACATTTGAGTGCAAAGATCTGTATGGAAGCTGTCGTTAAGCTGAGGAGTGTTTCCGGAAGTAGGCGGTGCCGGGAACCCGTTCCTGTCCTATTGTTTGGACCTAAAGACCAACCTGTTCCCTTCCTATTGTTTGGACCGAATTTTGCGACACTTTATTAAATGAAAATACAATTTGGACGGTGAGTAGAGACGCTGGATGAGTAATGAGAAGATGTGGACCTCGGAGATCTGTGTAGCTTACATTCGTGCCATGGCCAAACAGCCTCGTACCCAGCATGCCCTGTCCTTCCAAAAAGGGATGTAAGAAAAGCCTTATTTTTTCATCCCTCCGGTCGAAGGGGAATAACTTCTTAAATATTTTTGTTAGGGCGAACTGTTCCCTAACAATAATAAATAAATTAATCTTCTGTTAACTTGAGGCACACCTAACTACCTTTGGGAATCTCTGCCTCATAATGTAAGTTTAATCAGTAACGACGAACACAATGAGTTTAGGGATGCTATCTCTCAGTGGAGTGGAAAGCACGCAACTGGTAACGTTTTAAAGATTCTTCTGATATCAGTATATTTTTTTAAATTATTTCACCATACAACATTTCAATATACAAGGTGTGTGTGGGGGGGTTACTGAGTGTGGAAGAATACGAAAAACATTATTAACGAGCGATAAAATAAGAGGAATCAAGAAGATTTAAAATAAAGATTGCATTTAAACTTTTGAAGATTTTAATTTTCCACAAGAAAAGACTGATATGAGGAAAAAAAAGAAAAGAATTTCCATCTAAAATTCAAATTTTTCAGTGGTGTAAAATTCAATGCGTGATAGCTTAGCATTTGTTAACTTTGAAATAAACAGAATATATTAGCATAAACACGGCGCTTTTAAAAATACTGACGCGATCCAGTGTTTTTTTGTTTTTTGTTTTTTTTGTCCGAGAAAATGGCAGCGTCCCATTCATCAAAATGGTGACAAGAATTAAATACTTCTCGGCATTTCACTTTGTCAGCTGTTACAGTACCTACCATTACAATGTGCGAATCTAATATACTATTGAACATGAAGAACTTAGTAAAAGTAAAAACAGACTAATTCGCATGAAAATGCATTTAATTTAATACACGTTCGCATTTAACTTATCTGCTTCTCACGCGATGTATTTTGTATTGTATCAGTACATCTTAGTTCTGGCACAAACTGAGAGAATTAGAAGCCCTACGAGTATTCCTTACAATATAAAATATGCAGATACAGAAAGAAAACTCCAAGAACTTCTGCAGAAGACAGTGAAAGAAAGAATTAAACATCAGTTGCAAAAAGACGTAATGCATGGTTGTTAGCGAAACGGACAGGCCAAAGTGTAAATTAGAAATTGAGAATACAAAATCAAACAATTACAAAAATTCAAATATCTGGGAAGGACGGAAAGTGAGACACCGAACTCCGAAGGCGCATTGGGAAAGTCCAGTATCCATTCCAAAAACTAAACAAAATATTAAGAAACATAAGATTTTCGTAAGAAAGAAAGGAAAGTGTACTTAACAGTTGCGTAACACTAGTCTTCTTATATGGCAGTGAATAATATCCTCACAGATGAAGAAGAGATTTGAACCAACAGAAATGTGGGTCTACAGGAAGATGCCGAGGATACAATGGACCGAACATATGAGCAACAACGAAGGTTCAAAGGAAATGGAAACAAAAAGGAAATTTGTATTTAATATCAGGAAAAGAAAGCTGAAACTTCTAGAGCACATAATGAGGAAAGATGGCTTGAAAAATTTGATACTCACAGTCCAGATTGAAGGTAAGAGGGACAGAGGAAAACAACGCATAATATACCAAGTGAGCTTGAGTAAATGGATAGTGGACAACGTTTAGGAGAAATAGAAAAAGTCAAAATTTATTAAAAGCTACAAACAGGAAACTTTGGAGAGCCATGATCGCCTATATCCTGAAGGGACACGGCACATGGAAGAAGAATAATGTCTACTGTCCCATTATTTTAGGACAGTGAAATGGGTTATAGGTAGAAACTGTAAAGATGAGACAAAATGGAAAATTTTATTAACGATGTGTTTACGGGAGAAGCGTATGCTCTCATTGGCTTTTTCAGGTTAAAATGAAAGAAAGACAAAACTGTGTGAGAAGAAAATGATTTCAGTTCTTTGAGGATAAGTGGGTATAATAAATTAAATTAATTACACAAGCTTATCACCTCCTAAGTTTAGGCACAATCTAAATTTGGACAACTTAGAGTGTGCCTGTCTGTGTGCCTGTCTTTGTTTTATTTATGATCTGTATTAGAGCCATTTCGTACTGTAGGCTATTAAATTATTTTATTTTTTATATATATATATATATATATATATATATATATATATATATATATATATACGCACGCATTTGCACATACGTGTAAATTCATACGCATCCACGTAGGCATATACATATTGACAGTTGAATATATGTTTTGGAGCATGCAATGTCGTGACGCTATAGTTCTTGTTCAAATCAACCAAAAACTCCAATATATATATTCAACTGTCAATAAATAGCATAATTAAAAAATATATATATTTTGGTCTACACATATTTCGTCTTAGTATTTGCCTATATATAAGAAAATTGGGCTCTGAAAATGACAATTTGAAATTGTCGAAAGTACTTGGCATATTTTTTTAAGCATTCCACCCCAAGTACGGGGTTACAGAGTTGGAGCGAGAGCAAAGAGGAGTGATAGAGGAAAGGATGAAGAGAAGGTTAGGGGATAGATCTGGAGACGTCGATTGAAATTACATTTGAATAGTTGGAGATTATAGCTATCAGGGAAACAAGAAATGGGGAGGGAGTTCCACAGGCGAGAAGTGCGAGACATGAAGCTATTGGAGTAGAAGAGACGGCTACATTTAACAGTTTCGACGGTGTAAGGGTGAGAGCGAGATGCCAGCCTAGTTGAACGCTTAAATTCATGATGTCTGGAACCAGCGAAAGCAGCTCATCGGACAAGTTACCGTGAAAGTATTTGTAAAAAAAAATAGAGGGAGGCGACGGCACGTCTGTGAGAGAGCGGCTGCAGACGAGATGCCAGATCACGGCCAATTACATTGCATATTCGTTTTTGGATTTTATCAAGGACCTTGAGATAAACAGAAGGGGCTCCAGACCATATATGGCAGCAATACTCAATGTAAGGGCGAGTGGTTGATTTGTTTGATTTGAAGGATTGACTCCGGCGAGAAAAATTTCCTGGCGCGGCACAGGAAGCCGAGTTTCCTTGCGTTGGACGAAGCTATTGATTCAATATATTTGTTCCATCTCAGGTCAGCAGACAATGTGAGACCGAACAGTTGCAAAGAAGTGAGCGTCATACATTCTAATGGGAGACAGGGATGGTTATCTGTTGTGAGTAATAGAGAGCAGTTTTGTTTTTGAGGCATTAAAGTTAACCAGCCAATTCCTGCCCAAGTCCACAACCGATTGGAGGTCCTTTTCGAGACAAATGGCCAGGTTAGTTTTGTCGGCGACACTAGAATTGTTTTTGAGGCAGGAGTAAATAGTAGTGTCGTCCGCATAGATGCCTACTTGGGAAATTATGACATCAGGAAGATCCTTAATGAAGATATATATATATATATATATATATATATATATGTGTGTGTGTGTGTGTGTGTGCGTGTGTGTGTGTGTGTTTCATTATAGACGACAAAGTACTACGATTAAGCTTTTTATTATTTAATTTTATTTAATTTTTCATGTGTTCGAACAAGTGTTTTCTTTTTTGAACACAGAGTGTGTTGAAAGTGTCCTAATGTTCTACAATTCCGAGTGCTTTCGGCTATACCTTTAGCCATTATTAATGATGGTTTTATTTTTTCAATTAAATTGGGTGGGTGTGTTGTGTGTATGTTTTTAGTGTTATAGGAATATTTTATTTTCCGAACACGGCACATTGTGGCCGTGTTCGTAGTTAATATTATTAAGTGTTGGCTTTTTCATTTTTATTATTAAAGCGTCCATTATTTTTAATCTTATAGACCACTAAATTAGACTATTTCTCCCCAAAGTAAATAACAACGATAGTGAACACACAGTCAAAAATGACAAATATTTTCTACAGAACCAAATTCACATCAACTACAAACAAGATGTATCCTCACTTAGAAATATTATAAAGAAATACATTACACCTATTGATCAGTATAAAAAAAATCAAATTAATTATCTACTACAAAAAATTTAAAACAGCTTATCCTGAAAAATAACAGCACACCAACAAAATCAAAATTACAACGAACGATCATTATCTATGAGTTCAAATGTCCCTTAAGGAACTGTGTTCCTAATCAAACGGAATACATAAATAATTACATCGGTCGCACAACAACATGCCTATCCAGACGCTTTAAGTTACACCTATTCAACCACAGCTCTATTAGAACCCATTTAAACACACACAACCTTACCAGACGCCATCCGAAACATACTAGTAGAAAATAAAAACATAATAACCTCACTCCACATGTAAAAAAAAAAAAAAGATTTAAAATAATGTGAGCCTTAATTATAAAGAAAAGACCAACATTTAATAATATTAACTACGAACACAGCTACAATGTGCTGTTTGGAAAATAAAACATATCTATAACACTAAAAACATACAAACAACTCACACACCCAATTTAATTGAAAAAATAGAACCATCCTTGATAATGGCTAAAAGTATAGCCGAAAGGACTCGGAATTAGAGAACATTTGGGCAGTTTCTATACACTCTGCGTTCGAAAAAGTAAGCACTTGTTCGAACACAAGAAAAATTAAATAAGAATTTTAATCGTAGTACCTTGTCTTTAATGAAACATGTATAAATGAAGAATTGCTAACTAAACACACACAATATATATATATATATGTATATATCATAGAGACTTTTTTCATTTTTATATACACATATATTCATACATACCACTATTTCTATATATATATATATATATATATATATATA